CTATTGCTAGTTTAAACAGCATGTAAGAAGATATGGTTGCTATGAAATAAAAGAAGAAAGTCATGAAATGAGAACAGGCTTAAACTGAAAAGCCAATGTCATGAGATGAAAAAAATATGTTAAGGTAAATAAAAATACACATTAAAAAATCAGTGTTAGTAGCTACAGAGCAGGAATGAGGGTTTGAAAAATTGAATTGGTTATCTGGAGACAAATTTGGGATTTTTCTTAGAATGTAGATAGCAAAAAAAAAAAAGGAAAATAATGGAGTGGGTTATAGATTTATAACTGTGCTCTCCAATACAAAAGTCATTGTCACATGTTGCTATTGAGCACTTGAAATGTGGCTACTCTGAATTGAGATGTGTTGTCAGTGTAAAATACACACCAGATTTCAAAAACTTGATAAAATCAGTGTCACCTGTATCTTTTTACTTTATAAAATGTGGCTGCTAGAACATTTAAAATTACATATGTGGCTCACCTTATATTTCTAGTGGACAGAGTCGTATGAAGGAAGAGAGTGGAGATCTAAGAATTTTGTGTTTTGGGGAATTTTGAGGAAGAATAAGGAAGAGTGGTACATAAAAATAACCAAAGAATAATTACAGAAAACTTTCTTGAGTTAAAAACAATATGTCTATGCCAGTGAAAAATCAGTGAAAGCAGACTTATATCTGGACACAAATTTTGAAATACATGGAAAAATTAAAAAAAAAATTTTTAAATATACTAGTTGAAAAAAGTTTACTTCCAATTTTGTCTCTACCTTTGCTCCACAACACTAAATGCTTGAAAGCAGTGGAGCAATGTTTACTGATTTTACATCGAAAAATATTGTGACCTAAATTTTATATTCAGTGCTACTATCATTTGTGTGTAAAGCCACTATATCGACATTCTCAAATAGTCACAGATAAATTGAACTGAAAATAGTTGTAGTTACTTTAGCCAATGGAAGGAAGAATCAAAATTAAGAATTCAAGTACAGAGTTCAAGATTTAAAAGTAATTTGGGGTTTTTCCTTTACTTCTGATAGACTTCAAACTTAGAAATTTGGTCAATCAAGGGTTATCAATTGGATTTTGCATCCAAGGGGTGAAATTTGACCTTATGGTATCTTCTGCTTCCACTCTTTCATGGTCCTACCAGGAACTGCATTTCTCATCCTTTATCCCTCAGTTCACTGCAAGTCTCCTGTCGGGTTAGATGACTACCCAGAACAACAATGGATACTGTTGTATTTCAGGACTTACTAAAAACGGCTAAACTATTTATGAAGTTGGGACACTAGAGCAGTAGAATTGCTGAACAAAAACATATTTTCTTCTTTACAAAAGCAGAGTTGCCAAGAAACTTGATTTTCTGCACCTGTAAAATGCATGTTTAATGAGTCATTGGCCTCTCTTTTTTAATAAATTATTTATTTATTTAAACTTTATCGGGTACAGCATGGTCATTGGTTACACATTGCTTTCATGCTACAATGGCATAGTTGACTCTTTTAAGGAGGGCGCAGCTCACAGTGGCCCATGCGGGGATGGAACCAGCAACCTCGGTGTTATCAGCACCACGCTCTAACCAACTGAGCTAACCGGTCACCCCTCTTTTTATTTTTTTAATGATTAAGACTCATAAGTAACCCAGGGACTTTTCACTCTGACATGCTACAGTTCAATTATTTTTTCAATAATAAATTCTCTCACTTTGGGGAAAAGAGCTTCGTCATGTGGGTTACTGCTAGTGAACTGGGTATGGCTGTGGTACTGCTGTGTCGATCAAGTTTCAACAGCGACCCTGAGGCACAGCGTCCAGACCAGACAGGGAAGACAAGCCACAACCGTTACCGCCGTCTGCCCTCAGCGCAGGGAGAGCGGGGATGGAGAAAAGTTCTGTTCGAACGCTTTCTCAGCTGCAGAGCAAGGCTGGCTTTCTGAGGGGGTGGGGAAACAGCTGGAAACTCAGGGGATCCATTTGTATCACATATGCCTCTATCCCTTGGTTTATGTTACAAGAAGTTCTAACTTTGTTTTATGATGATGGCACAATAAGGACATAAGGAAAAAGGCAGTGACTATATACATTCTGCTTTGCTTTTTTATTACCTTTGTTTGAAATTTCATTGCACTTTTTCTGGCTGACTGTCATTAGGCAGGGGTGTCAGCTGATGGATTCACCGTAAGCTGGGCCACACTGCATGAAGCCTGAGGGAAGTGCTTGTGGAGGGTGGTCTCTTTCTGGGCTGGACCACGGTATGGCTCTAATTCCTAAGTAAGTCTCGCTGAGCCGCTGTTTGTCTCATTTGCATCTTGAATTGCATTCACCAGCCCCACCAAGTTTTAAGGAAACCTCTTAAATGATGTGGGAGCCCATGTGGAGGGTGAACAGCCCTGCTTTGGGCTCAATAAACCAACGTGACGGGGAGCAGGTGCTAAAAATCCAAGAGCATCAGAGGAACAAGACACAGATTGTCACTTGGCATCAGGGAGATTAAGCTGTTGGGAGAAGACCAGGCAGGAGCCCACAGGCCAGAGAACACAAAGGGACAGAGGCTTTCCCTTTCTCCAGTGGAAATAAAGCCTGTCCCTCCCTCTCTCCTGCCCCCCCTCCACTCCCCCTTCTGTAGCCTGAGCTGCTGGCAACCCCCTACGGAACACCTGCAAACAATTCTTACCTTCTGGGCCCAGCACTCTGCCCTCCCTGTCTCTGTGCTAGGTGAGAGGGAAGCTTGCTCATCTCCGCAGGCAGCTGCATTGGTAGAGGACAGCCATGGGCAGAGGCCGTGGGATACAACAGCCACTCTGAGAAGTCCTCCGGGAGTCCTGAGGGCTGGGGCCCACACTGCTCTGGTGTGGCTTTAAATACTTGCGAAGTGGATCATAAATGTTAGCTCACCACAGACCCAGCTGCCAGCATCTCTAAAATGCAGGGGAAGCTGAGAGGTGAGCCAAGTGGCACTTCCTTTTCCAGGAACTGAGATATTTCTAAGGAGGATTCCAGGACTCAAATCTATCTGAGAACTCGGTGAGCCCTGCAACCATGCGCCAATCATGGGTGAGTGTGCAGAATTTTGGTTGGAATAATACAAGACAGAAAGCAAAGAGATTTTCTGACTCCGAAAGCTGTTCAACTCTGAAATACTTAGGGATTTTCTCACCTCTACAAATTTTGAAAGTGGAAGAAATCTCTTTTGTCTGGATAATTTCTGGATGTGTTCCAGGCTGCACATGGGGTGGAAATCACTAATCTTGGAAAGGCCTATGCAATCCTGAATTCTTAAGTCCCTGCTGATATACAATGCACTTTTTGTATGCTTGTTTTAAAAGACCTAAGTCTTAATTTTATGTGGCAATCAGAGATTACATGACGCACAGCAAATAGATTTTATCTTGCGCATCAAGTCCTATGAATTGGTGTAGCTGTCTGGGGTGCTGTGCTAACAAACAAACATATTGAGGCCACATCTGGTACTGCAGGCAAGAGTACGATGATGGATTAGCAATGTCTGCCATGGATACAGAAGTTGAGGATTATGGCTCTAATGCCACATATTTGACATCCCTGCGTTAAATCAAGGGACATCTTTCAGACTTCTTTACCCAGGACTAAGTTCTTCGATTCTGGAAAATGGACCATGAACAGGTTTAGAAGTTAAGAAGAATTCATTATCAGTTGTTTCCTCTAAGGAATCAATGTAGCTGCCGTAGAGACAAGTTTATTATTTATGGATTGATGTCTCCTGTCAATTTACTGTGAATAGCAGAAAGCAGATGTTCCCTCCCCCTATTCTGCTTTGGGTCCTCAGGACTTTGTTCCTGGAATACTGCCTCAGCATCCCAGTGATCGCCCAGCCTTACATTTTGGGGATCTGTTCTCTACTAGGCAGATGGAGTGAGCTGTCTAAATTAAAGCCCTGATTATGTCTGTCCCCTTCAGTTGTTCCCATCATCCAAAAGACAATTATCTGCTCTTCCATAAGGTTCATCTTGATCTGGTTCTTGCCTGCCTCTCCAGCTCCATCTCTTGTCCCTCTTTTCCTTGGCACTTTATGTCGCATTCAGGTCAAGTTCCTTGTTCCTCCTGACCTTTTTCACTTGAGGCCCTGCTCCCCTCACAGCACACCCTCCTCACCTTGAGGGTAAACTAAGTGGACCTTCCTCAATGCCTTTCTTTCTCCCTTAGATTCAGTTAAAGGGTCCTTGGAAATCACTCTGTGCTTGCTTCGACCCCTTATTGTGATCACAGGTTTATCTATGTTCCTTGCTAAAATCCTAAGTTCTACCAGGCCAGAACCACGTCTTATTATCTACATCCAAACCACTAGGGCAATGGATGGCCCATAGGAGGTGCTTGAAACATGTTTATTAAATGAGTACATGAATGGAGGTTAGGTAGTTTTCCCAAATTCATGAAATTAATGGTGACTCAGCATGGATTATTGCTCATAATCATTAAGTTGACACGACCTATTTCCCCATAGTATCTTCATTGTTTTACTGAATTACCTGCTTTCCTGGCCCCATATACCGCTTCTTTCTATAACAGCAGTTGCAAGGAATTGAGGCAAAAGAGCCAAGTGCCAATTATGAACTGTGAAAAAAATCTAGAAATTCAAAGTCATTGAATCTTAGGTCTAGAAGGCAGAGCTTATGCCTCATCCATGTCTCTCTCCCTCCCTCCCTTCCTCCCTTTCTCTCTTTTTTGGAAAAGGCAGTTTTCAGCAATTATAATGGCATCTGTGAGAATTGTATGACCAGATTTCATGGTCCATATGATGACAAATAATTTAATTTTGATTGCTACAAAAGGGAAGAGAGTAAGGGACCCATATTTTGGCCCAAATTGTGCAGTTGTATGCAGCTCTAATTTCCAGATCCCTTAACCAAAAATGTCCTGTTTTCTCTCTCTCTCTCTCTCTCTCTCTCTCTCTCTCTCTCTCTCTCTCTCTCTCTCTCAACGCGTAACTAGCTCATTTGGAGCGGGAAAGGGAAATGATTCACCTTATGTAGCTGTGTCTTCGTTTCATAGTAGGCGATCACCGGGATGGATGCTCGGTAGTAGGTTTCAAGGCGCTTGGCGATGGTGCAGGTGTTGTCTGCACATGGACTGCTCTGGAGGAGGCGGGCGGTCATGGTGTCTGCAGAGCAGTCCATACAGATCACCAAGTGCGGGTCTCCAATCTGGGGGGGTGGGGAGCACAACACGGTTAGAAATTCTACTCTGTGGTGTTCTGGAAAGCTCTGGGAACCCTAGTTCTTCTCATGCTTGGCCTTCTGGTTCCTCTCAAGGTCCCAGAACTACATTGTGACAGTTCGGACTGGTCTTCATGGCTCCATATTTCCAGGTCAGTGGCTTTCCACATGCTGCCTCAGAGCTGTCTTTTGCCCTCAGCTTTGTCACCTCACGTAAGGCAGGGATTATCTAGAATGCTCCCCAATGCAGTCACAATCTGTTCTCCACACTAAAGGGAGTGTGTGTGTGTGTGTGTGTGTGTGTGTGTTCCTCGTGGAAGCCTTCCCTGACCTACTGAGGCAGAGTTAATCGCTTCCTCCTCTGTACCACCATTATACCTTTTTGTAAAAGATTTTTATTAAAAATAGAGCTAACATGCACTATTATGTTAGATTCAGGGGTAGACCATATTGTTCAACATTTATATACCTAAAGAAGTGATCATCATAAGTCCAGCAACCATCTGACACTGTACCACACTCTCACTATATTATTGACTATATTCCCCATGCTGTACATTGCATCCCCATGACTTACTTGTTTTATACCTGGAAATTTGGAACTCTTTTTCCACTTCCTCTTCCCCCACGTTTTAAAATTTACCAATTACAGCTGACATTCAATATTATTTTATATTAACTACAGGTGTACAGCTTAGTGGCTAGACATTTATATAATTTAAGAAATAATCCCACTGACTAGTCTAGTACCCACCTAACACTATACATAGTTATTGCCATATCATTGACTATATTCCCTATGCTTTACATCCCCATGACTATTTTGTAACTACAAAATTGTACTTCTTTTTTTTTTTTTTTTAAAGATTTTATTGGGCAGTTAGGGGTTGGGGAACAGCGTTGGGGAATCGAGGAAGGGGAACAGACAAGTTGCTGTCCTTTTGTTCTTTAGTCTAGTTGTGGAGGATGTTGCTTCACTGGCCCACGTTGGTATTATCATTGCGCTCTTCCCAGGAGAGGCAGTCGCTCGCTGGCCATTGGACGGCCGCTCATGGTGGCTCACGGCAGCACATGAAAGTGCATGCAGCTGCCGGCCAGCCCCACTGCAGCCTACGCCGTCGCTGGCGACTCACGGCAGCCCAGCTCCAGGTCGAGCTGTTGTTCACCATCTTAGCTGTAGAGGGCTCAGCGTCATTGGCCTTCATGTGGGATCCGAACCGGAGCCCTGCTGCTCAGAGCTGGCATCCCAAGCCAACTCCTAACCAATGCACCACTCGGCCAGCCCCAAATTTGTACTTCTTAATCCCTTCACCTTTTTCACCCTGTTTCCCATCTATCACCCCAATAAATCTAGTACCCATCTGACATGATACCTAGTTATCACAAAATTATTGACTATATTCCTTATGCTATACCCTACATCCCCATGATTACTTTGTAACAACCAATTTTTACTTCTTAATCCCTTCCCTTTTTCCCCCCCCCCCCCCCAATGTCCCCCCCCCCCAATCTGGCACCCTTCAAAATGTACTCTGTATCTATGAGTTTGTTTTTGTTTCACTTTGTTCTTTTTCAGGACTTTTCTCCCATTCTTTTATTTGGGATGCATTTCTTGGTTTCCTCATTTTGGCCTCCTCTCTGTTTGTTTCTATGTATTAGGTAGATCTGCTATGTCTCCCAGCTTGGCCAGGTGGCCTTATGTAGTAGGTGCCCTGTGGGGCCCTGGCACAGTCTCTCTGGTCACCTGAGCCGGGTGCTCCAGAAGTGTCCCTTGTGTGGCTGTGTGTGCCCCCCTGTTATAGTTGAGCCTTGATTGCTATTGGGAAATCAGTGTGTAGGATTGACCCTTAGGTTGACTGGCTGTGGGGTTTGGTCACGTCCACAGCTTATGGGATGCAGTGTGGGAAGCTTACCCCATGGGGTGGGATTCTCCCCAGCAGGCTCTGGTGCCTGTTGAGATTGCCCTTTGAGTGTGCCATTTGTGAGGCTAATTGGGTGGTGCCCTGCTGTGGCCTGAAGCCAACTTCCAAGTATGTTGGTTCTGGGGCCTCTTGGGAGAAGCTCCAGTGTCGGCCCAGGACACCCACTGCTTATGACTGGCAGGGGCTACCTGGTAGGAGCTACACAGCGATCTGCAGTTGTTTCTGCTTGTGCTAATCCTAGAGGCATGTGGGAAAGGCCACTCTGTGAACTGAGGACTGTTGCCACTGGTACCAGGCCTGGAGTCACTCTGCAAAAAGCCAGGACACCTGGAGGCCTGCTGCCACCTGCCGGCTCCCTTTAGGTTCAACTACTGATAAAGCCTCATGCAGTACATAAGTTGGGTGAGGCAGGGTCTCAGAGAGTCTCTAGATTGGGAAGAGTTGTGGTCACCAGGTTAATGTAGACTCTGGTTTGGTGCCGGTGCTGAGCCTACAGCAAACTCAGCAAAAATCTCAGAGCACACCAAGGCCAGTTGCTGCCCACCTGGGGCCTGTGGACTCAGTTTTCTGAGAAAGAATGTAATGTGGGAGGGGCTGGCTGCTTGTGGAGAAAGTGTCTCAGCCAGTGCTCAAGTTGTGTGGGGCAGCATCCTAGCTGAGTCAGCAGAATGGAGCCATGGCCAATCAGATTCACATTAGGTCTGTGGGGGCGGGCTCAACACAGGAAAGATGGCGCCTGCCTGCTGGCTGCATGGGATCAGGACTCCTCGCCAGGAAAATGGTGACTGTCCTCTAGCCCTCCCCCTGCAGCCACACACCTCAGTCTGCCCCCTCTTCCCTATATGTCTTCAAGGTCCCTTGAGTCACTGTCCCTCCGCTGGAGCTCAAGGTGAGTGCCTGTGAGTGAGCGAGTAAGACTGAGCGCGGGCCAGTTAAGAGGATGTCTGGGTTTCCCGCAGCCTTCTGTCCCACCTGAACAGATGGAATCCCCACTGGTTTTCACAGCCAGATGTTGTGGGGCTCCTCTTCTTGGCACCAGTGCTCCGGGCTGGGGAGCCTGGTGTGGGGGGCTGGGGTCCTTTGCTCCCCTGGGGGGAACCTCAGCAGCGGAGATGTCCCTCGCGGAGATTTGGGGTCTGTTCTACATCTCTGCCCCTCCTACCAGTCTTAACGTGGCTTCTTCTTTACATTTTTAGTTAGAGAACTTCTATTTGGCTAGACTTCAAATGGTTCTCCAGGTTAATTATTCTATAATTTAGTCGTAATTTTAATGTATTCATGGAAGTATGTAGCTACAGTGTTTATCTACTCTGCCATCTTGGATCTTTCTATTCTAGCATTACATCTTATACCAGCCACCAGCAGTGCAGTGTGACTGTGTCTATATTATGTGGGAGTTAGTAAGCATAATGGTTGAACACGCAAAGGTTAGAGTCAGGCTGCTTAGGGTCAAATCCTGGTGTGGTGACTTGTCTCCAAGATGGTCTTAATCAATTCCTTGCCTCAATGTACTCTAAGCTCTTCTCCTATGGAGACACAGAGCCCATACCTCCAACTCCTTGAACCTAAGCTGACCTGTAACTGTTTTGACTAACACAATACAGTGGAAATGATACAGTTAGAAGCAAGATCATTAAAAAATGTTGCAGTTTCTGCCTGGTCAACTGCCATTCAAGATGTCTAGCCATTTTGACTGTTGAGCTATGAGGCAGCCCAAGCTAGCCACTCAGACAGAGGCCATGTGGACAGAGATACCCAGTCAGCCTTTGGCTGTTCTAGAAATCTCAGCCCTGGTTCCAGACATGTACATTCAGCCTTTGCCACTGACTGTATAAAGTCAACTGTATAAAGGGCCCCAAGTGCCAACCAGCCAGCCAAGCCCATCAAACCACAGAACGCTATTAGAGAAAATAACAAATTATTATTTTAAGCTACCTGACTTTATCATTAACTGAAAGTGTTAATTTTCAACTTCTCTGCCTCCCAATTTTCTCATCTTTACAGTGAAGATAATCACAGAATTGCTGTGTGGATTAAATAAAGTAATGTCAGTATGTTGCTTGGCATATAACACTAAATAAGTATTAGCGATTATGCTCATTTTCTCTATTAGGCTACGATCTCTTTGTATGCAGGGATTAGGAGTGCTCAAATCCTGGTCTCATGTCTTGCATATAGAGTAGGTAGGTGATTAAAAAATGTCAATGAATGAATGATGATCATATGATCAGTAGCATGAATTGATCCATCTCCCCATCCTTCTCTTCAATGTTCTCTTGCTCCTGATGTCTTTGTATCTGTGTTGCCTCTACTACCAACCCCAGTACTGCATCAAAAGAAACTGTTACTCCCTCCTGATTTTGCAATAATTAGGTTGTAAGTAATACAGGGAGGATAGCCACCGCACTGTGGAAAGTGCCTGGGATGCATGGGAACAGTCAGGCTGGGGAGGACTTTTAGGTAACACAGAATGATAAGTAGATAAGTGTTGATCAAACATTTATCTACTCCCTCTGAGGGATGTACTTTAAGGAACAGAGTGGAAAGATTCTCCAAAATCTAGAAGAGTGAAATAAACTTCTGGAGTATGTCATGCAACTTTTCTTCAGTATTAATTGGAAAACAAAAATGAATATTTGAGCAGCAAGGCTGGATGAAGGTGTAGAGGAAAATGACCCTTGTCTACCAGCAGAGGGCGAGCTAGGGTTCAGTTACAGAGCTGGGCTCCCTGGAGCAGTTTCTGGTTGGAGCTGCAATGAGAAGACTTGGAGATTTTTCCATTTGTGGGGGTTTCCAGGCCATTCTTGGGGACAGGAAAGATAATTCAGGGACTCATTCAGGTACAAATAGAAATAATGTGTATCTGATCAGGAGCTATCAGTAAATGACCCTCTGGACCAAAATAAGCATGGGAGGTAGAGGTAGATTTGTCTTCCATATTGATTCTCCAGTTGTGGTCCTTGGACCTGCAGCACAGGCATTATCTGGGAGCTTGTTAGAAATGCAGTCTCAGGCATAATCCAGAGCTGCGGGATCAGTCTGCATTTTAAGAAGATCTTCAGGGGA